GTTTCCATTATAAGGCTGTCTCATCCAATACATGCTCTCCATAATCCATCTAGTTTTTGAGGATAGTGTGTTTCAATGGCTTATTTGAACAGTCTGATCATATAGAAATATTTTGCCAACTTGACCAGTATGTCTTGTTATAGAATAGCATGAATATCCATTTTGTTCTTCAGCTGCTTGAGATATACAACAGTTAAACAGATATGTTATGGAAGCAGCTTTGTACATGTGACTTGTTTTACATTTCTGGATAGAGATCTTTCTTGATTATATTGTTTACTGTTGCCTGGGACATGTGGACAGATTTTGCCACTGATTTTGTGGAGTTTAACCTGTTAAAAAATGCCACACTTTGCTTACCATGGCTAGGGTATGACTTGATATAGGTCTCTTTCTGGATGGTCCTGATTCCCTAAGTTGATTCATATTCATTTATTTTCTAATACCATTAAATTCAAGGGATATCCCCATTTTACATATTCTATATCCCTGATCTGAATACATCTGAGTGTATGAATGTCTTATGTTGGAAAGGGTTGTTGCATGCTTTTCCCAAAAGTAATGAATTTTGTGTGGCATCACACTAACTATGAAATATCAAAATGTAGTTCTAATGCATGTCATTCTACCATGACATTGTATCTTCTATGATTTGTCATGTGATTTCTTGATTTACATATTCAAAATCATTTTAATGGAGTGTAATCAACCCTGTGTAATTATACTATCAGGCAAGCAGTAGCACTGCCTGTGTAGGGATGGCTCAGATTGTTCCTGGAATGGGATTTTAAATATCTCCTCAATTGGTCATCAGAACTTTACAATACTATACAGTGTTTCCTGTTATAACAATATCAATGTAATGACTGAGTCACAAGTTCTGGGAATGTCTGTAAATATCATAGCAAAAGTTTGAATTTCTTGTTCTTCTTTCTCTGCTTTTTTTATTACATGATAACTCAAAAACCAAAACATTGATATTAACCAATTTCAATGAAGTGACACAATTTCAAATGGAATATCCACTTTTATAAGTATTTTAATAACTAGTAGTAATTAACAAGAAAATCATAATTTCATAATCAGACAAAAATTAACATATAGCAATATATATAACTATTCAATTTAATTCAGTTTATATCTGTTTATCCTATTTTTGTCTGTTAACATTCTACTACAGTGTGTGCTTGTGCTACTGTTTGCATTATTTTTGAAGGATTGGCATTAGCCATCCCTACATTTACTTCCTTTTTTGAAAAGTTACATTATATGTACTTTGGAAGTCATCACTGAGTGTTTCACACTAAAGACAACCTCTAAAGTCTGTTTTGCTGGTCATTTCCTTAAGGATGTACATTAATTGTGTTAAATACTGTAGTTTTTTGCAAACTTCAACAGTTAGCTCTTTGCCAAGATGGATAAGGTATTGGGTGTGGTGAAGACTTGCATTTCACCTTATCTTCAGTCTAATGATTTGACTAAGCAACTTATCCAAACTTAAAAGCATATGTTTTGTAAGTTTCTTAGATCACTTGAAACTAATGATCACCTGCCTTATGATGGCATACCATGCAATAGTACTGCATTCTACTGGCTGTTCTTCAAACGTTTTAATGTTTGGATGTGAAATTATACTCCCAGTAGATCTTATACTCTGCCTTCCACCACCTGAATAATTTCCACAATAATATGTGGAATTTTTGTTTTTCACATTAGTCAACACATGCATGAGTTCTTGTACCAACAGATGAGAAAAGCAACCAAGAGACAGAAGAGAATACATGATAAAATGGTGAGAGAGTCTGTTTAAACTAAGAGACTGAGTTTAGCTCAGGCATACTTCAGTGAGTCATTAGACACTCAAATCTGGCTAGGCTGGATCTTATCTCATTCTTTGGCAACTTAATCTGTTGAACAATGAGATTTGTCATTTGTGTGACATGAAAAAATAAGTAGAAAACAACTATAAGTTGAAGCTGTATTTTACCAACGTGTTTCTGCAGCACTGGTTTCACCAGAAAGCGGAAAGTGAATAAAGCAAAACATCATCAAGTATTATTATCTAGCAGAAGAAACAAAAGAGGGAAAACAATGTTGAAACATTTCTTGCTGTTCACAAACATTTAGAGGAAGAGGAAATGCCAAATGATTGAACATGTGTGAATATCTGATGCTATGACTGGGAGTGGGAGGTAACTCTTGTCAGGTTGGATAGTTGATTGAATGAGCGAGAAATGGAACACTGTAAAATAATATTAGTAACTTCCATGGCTATATCATAAATGAAATGTGGTTTCCACCAAAAAGAAGTACAGAATGATAGTACTTATCTACTGCTTCTCTCAAAAATATATAATGTGGTGAATTGTTTGCTTTCATTTTGTGTTAGTAGTACTGTCTTTAAATAACATTGGCACGAACAATCGTACTGTATTAGGGTATGGCAACAAGAGTACACAACATTATAACTGTTCTGCAATTATGTTTAAATCTCCTTCTAACCAAAATCTTCAGCTATTGTAGTGTGGAGCCATGAAAAGTGGCCAAAGTCGAGCTGTTGTGTTTCTATATTAACTAAAGTTTGAAAATTAACATTTTTCAAATTCAAAAGAAATGTTTTCTCCTCTACTGTGTAACAAGAGGTATAGAGTTTAATAACTTCCTTTATTGCTTTAACTTTTCCTTTCAATTACACACATGCAAGTGTACAAGCAATATTGTAAGTTTTAACACTGGTCACTGCCACGTATTCTATATACAGCTCATTTGATAAGGTTTCTGCTGGAATGATGCAAGTTTAGACTGCTATCTACAGAAATACAACTGTAGTTTGCTTTATTTTTCAACTTTCTTGTGCCTAGTAACAACTGAGAACCAGACAATTCACCTGTAGATAGAACAACATTCGACTAATATATGCTAGTGAATATAGATAGTTTTGTGTGTGCAGAATACAGTTTGATTTAGATAATGTTTGAAGCCTTTATATAGTATAGTTAAAATGTAGGTTTCACCAATCACCATGCTACACTGAAATATGAAGTCATGACTAGTGATGACATCATTGCTTTCTTTGACAATGCACAGAATGGCAGTTAAAGAATTTGTTCTTCTCTAAACGTTTGTGTTGAGTGGTGGCTCTAGACTTTGTATCCATTTTTATCTTTGGACTTCAAGTTTAAAAACTCATCTTACAATTTTAACATGGAAGATTTTGTAGACCTTGGATTAACCAAACTATCAAGTTAGAGGATATAGTTAAGGTTTTTCACTTACTAACAAATTCATTTTTGCTGATGTTTCTCCAGCTCCCAGGGTCATTTTGTGCATATTAAAGAATTTATTTTATTGTAATATAATTGTAAAGGGCTTTTACTTTTGTAGATTGTTTGTTGTTACATGTATAGTTAGAAGTTTTTGTGGTAGATGAGGATGTTTTTCACATTTGAGTTTTGTATAGGGGTCATTTGTTTAATGTGTTGTCATGATGTGTATCCCTTGCTATGCCTAGTTTAACAAAGGGTTGTAATTTTCTTGTTGTTTCAACGGGTTGTTAATATTAAAGTTAAAATTAAAGTTGTATGTTAACAAGTCTAATATAAAGGAAATGAGGGTTGTAACATGCAAATACTAATACCTTACTTTCCTCTTGTGTATATTTCATCTATAAAAAATTTTATAAGTGAGTTATTTCAGCTTGATATTACCACAGTATATTACAAATATGCCATTTAATTTTGCTGTATTTAACTAGTTCTAACTTTGATTCCTCAGTTTGACACTTATAGTTTTTGCTGCCAGTTTTGCAAACTTAGCTAGTCAAAAGGTAGGAGAAATATTAGGTTGTCAAGATATTAATGTCACATTTTGGAACACTTTCATTACCCCCCAAACATACGTCACATATAATAGTTAAACGAACTGCCTAAATGTCATGTTAATGTAGCCTATATAATGTGTAAAGTTTAGTATACTCTAATCCCACATAGTGGTGGCACACAACAAGACACACATTCTGCATGTAATTCTCTTTGAATACAAGAAGGGAAACAATGCCTCTGTAGCCACAAATAATATCAAAGAAGTTTATGGAAATGTTTTGAACATTCGTAAGTGTCAACAATGGTTCAGCAAATTTCGTTCAGGTGACTTTAGCCTTAAAAACTGTGATGGCAGGGGCCGACATGTTGGAATTGATATTGATGCTCTAAAGACACTTGTTGAGTCGAACCCAAGGCAACACACTCATGAAATGGTCCTGAAATTGCATGTCTCTCATGAAACAATACCTAAACATCTAAGTAATATAGGAAAACTCCTTAAAGAAGGTGTTTGGGTGCCTTGAAATCAAGCTCTTCATCAGAAATGCTCTTAACATGTCAATCGGAAAGGTGTTCTTCTTCTCCACGACAATGCATGTCCACATGTGGCACATTTGACGCAACACAAGATTATGGAGTTGGGTTGGGAAATTCTCCCCCATCCACCATATTCTCCAGATATGGCACCATCAGATTACCATCTTTTCGTTCGCTGTAACACCATTTTAATGGGAAAATGTATGCAAATGTGGAAGGTGTTAAATAGGACATTGACATGTTTTTAGTTTCAAACCAAGTGATTTCTTTAATCAGGGCATTAACAACCCGATTATAAGATGGAAAAGCATCATCGATAAGAATGGAGACTATATCACTAATATTATTATTTGGCAAGTAATTAATTGTAAATAAGCAAATCAGTCATTCACAGTAAAATTAAATTTATAATTTTTTGAGTTTTTAATATCAAAATCTATGTAAAGAAGATCTACGAACTTGCAATTGCAAGCTAACTTAGGTTGATTATGTTTATTTTGGTACCAAAATGTTCTTAATTATAAATTATCTATGCACTAGTTTCAGTGTAACATCTTTGTTTTCCAAATATATATGTATGTGTTTGTGTGTGTGTGTATGGGAAATAATATGGATAGTTTTGTGTATCATTTTTCCTTTTAGTTCCTTGGAAACAAGTGAGGAATCTGAAGAGGAACTAGACAAGAGTTATGATAGCAGAGTAAAAGTATCAGCACTCCATCAAAGTCCTGAGAAATGGAATTTGACTAAAACTTCATCTCCAAAATCTGCTGAGAGGATGTACAGTGAGAGGTGCAGATGTACTAACCATTTACTAACTGTTAGTAAAACTTAAGCTAAGTACTCTTCATGATTTATATCTATTCCTTAACCTCTTTCAAAACCCTTGGGTAAAAATTATCTGGCCCGAGGAGCTTTATTATTCTTTACACTTTCCAACTTTTTCTTAACAAGCTCAGAATTAATGTGATTATCTTGTTTGATCTTGTTTCCATCTAGTAACTGTTCAGGATGAGGAATATTGCTTAAATCTTCATTAGTAAAAACTGAAGAAAAATAATTTAATAAACTAGCTATCTCACAGTCAACAGACATTAGCCTTCTTGTATTATTATCCAAAGACCCTACTCTCATCCTAACATTTTGCTCACCCTTAATGAATTTGAAGAAACCTTACTATTAATTTTTACATTCTCAGCCAACCTTTTTTTCCCTATATGTTTTTGGGTTCCTAATTTCCCATTTGACCAACTTTCTTGATCTTCAATAATTCTCAAAGTCTCTCATCATTGCAGTCAATTTAATTATGCTTATAATATTTTCCTGTAATATTCTTTACATTCTTTGTGATCCAACCTGGTCTTTTGACTTGTAGCCACCCGTTTTTGTCTATAAGGAATATGTCTGTCTTGAATATATAAGAATTTATTTTCAAAATTTTCCACATTTGATCAGTATCTCCAACTAATTCAGTTGCCCAAATCATGCCACTTAATTCTTGTCGTTATCTTTTCAAAATTTGCTGATTTGAAATTTGGAATCAAAATCTCACTATCACTTATCTCCATATGCAGCAAAATATCAAATGTAATTGAGCAATGATCACTTGCACCCAGATGCTCCTTAGTTTCTACCTCATTAACCATTTCTTTATTGGAAGTTAGTAATAAATCTAAAATAATATTGTTCCTATTAGGTTCCATATCCAGTTGGTGAAGAAAACCATGCTGAACAGTTTCTGAAATCCAGTCTCCCCTATGATTTTACTCTAACATTTCCTAAAATTAAAATCTCCCATAATTATCTTGCTGTATAGTTTCTTGTTAATGTCATTCATTTCATCTGGTAGTCTGTAACAAATTCCAACTAAAAGACTTTTTCTCCTTGTAACTGCTAACAAAAACCCAAATAGATTCAACCTTGTTGCTATTTGTTTTGAAATTATCCAATTGATCAGGATGTTACTCATATTTTGCACATAAAGCCATTCCTCCCCTCTTTTTTAATACTTTAAACAACCTATAACCTCGTGTTTCAAAACATTTCTATCATCAGAATTGTCTATATTTTGTTAGTGTTCACTAATTGCCATCATATCAAAATTCTATGTTCTGATCAGTGCTCTAACGTCATCATTTTATTTCTTATACTTCTAGCATTACAATAATAATGGTTTAACCTTCCATTAAAACTACCTTGTTCCCAAACTATACCCCTCTCTACATCTTATTTTTTCTTCACTATTCTGACCATCTCCATTGTCTAATCCTAGTTTTAAATTGCACTTACAGTTGAGTTAATAGCCTTTGCAAGCAACTCCTACCCTGTTCAGATATAAACCATCCCTTCTATAAAGCTTTCTCTTTCTCCCATAAATCCAACCAGCCAACCTGTTTTTCCTTAAAAATTAACCTAAGCCTAGTATTCATCCGTAGTGACCTACTTATAATTTCATCCCCAAAGTTAAGTCTTGTCAGTATCCCTGATGGAATTATGGCCTTTTTCTTTGAATACATTTATCAATGCTTTGTACTTAACAATAAGCTCCTCTGACCTTCCATTCCCTACATCATTAGCCCCTACGTGTAGACTGTTCACTACTAGCAGCCTTTACTATTTCACTTGCTCTGTCTGTTATATCATCCACACCTACCCCTGGATAGCATAATTTAATTATTTTCTCCCTATTTACCCCATAGACTATCTTATCCTTGTGCTGTACTAAATAATCTCCTACAACAAAACACTCCATATGTTTTCATTCTCATCCCTATCTGCAAGTAACTCATGCATTACCTCATTTAATGTAGTAACTTGAGATATGCATTCACTGAATGATTTACAAGTTGTGTGGAAGGATTATTAGTTAGTGATGAAACAATAAAATTAAGTATAAACAAATGTATACAGTTACAAGCTTAAAGCTATTTAGAATAAATAACTGTAATTTCATGTTACAATTTGCAGTAATTCTAGAAGAAGAAAGGTTTTTTTTTATGGTGGTTACACTGTTGGTTGACTTGACAAGAGTTCGTATAGTGTTAGAAATGAAAAAATAACAAAAAAAATATATGAAGTTTACCTGAAAAAACAAACAAAATTGATATTTATTTAGGAGGCTTTAAGAGGTTACACAAATGAAATTTGAAAATTTCAGATCAAGAAAAATATTTTATAATCTGAAGTTGAAAATTATTTTGCATTCAGAGCAGTCAACACTGACTCCATATATTGATGGACAAATCTTTGTTAAAAATCCTTGATTAAAAAAATCTGATTTTTTGTGTATATTTATATTTACTGAAAGGTGCCATATTTTGTGAAGTTACATGTGTCATATTAAACGATATGGAAACTCTGATTATTACTTGATAGTTACAAGGTCAATGTAAATCACTAACTCGTATGGAAAAACACTTCAGTACCAAAAATTATATAACATTATTTTACCTAACAGAAAAACTCAGTAAACTTGTCATTTATACATTTGAAGAATAGAAAGTAGTTAGCATCAGTTATAATGGGGAATTTTACAACTTTTTGCTTGTACAAACCTTGTGAGAATTTTTTAAGCTTGCTTACTGGCTCTGCACTATTTTATAAGATATGATCAAATGGAATGTCATTGTAATGTACTAATAGAAGGTGGCCCAAAATTATAATTATATTTCCTATTTTAAAATTTTACGATTATTGAACTAAAAAAATACAGCCACACAGTTTTCAACATCTTTTAGCCCAATTCAAACAGTTTTTATTGTCATGTTTTTTTTTGCTCCAATGTCTAGTGTTACCCCCATAAAATGGCAACCCAGCAAGAAAAGGCTCAATGCACCATTTGGCTTGCATGGTGGGCCAATATTGTGGCCTCCGTATTTGCCGGACACCACTCCTCTCGACTTCTTACATTGGGGTTATACTAAGAATATTATGTATTGCATATCTATAGCAAACTTCACAGAGCTAAAGACCAGGAAAGCAGATGCCATCACCACTGTACCTGTGGGCATGTTGCATTGAATGTGGATTGAAATTGAATATTTGTTAGACATGCTGAGAACCAGTAATGTTGAACCTCAATAAAAACTATTTGAGTTGGGTACAAGATGTTTAAAAATATATGATTATATTTATTTAGTTAAAACAGGAAAGATCATTTTGGACCATCCTGTATAATGTTGTACACAATGGCGTACTAAGAATCAATCATTCATATGTTCTGTTAAATGCTGCTAAAGAAACTCAGTGTATACAGGTTTAGATTAAGTGAAATAGAGAATTATAAAACTGTAGATTTTGTGTATATATATTCACTTCTATTATATTTTCAACATTATTGAGAGGAATGGAAGTTCCAATGGCCAAGTCATATAAAAAAGTTAGAACAGATAGTATCACCATTTCTGAGGTATTAATGCATCTAAGCTACATCTGCTAGAAGCACTGTTTCACTTTTAATATGCAGTTTGAAACAATCTTAGATCAAGTGCAAGAATGTCTACTTTAACATTTATATTATTCTTGTTATTCATGTTTTAAAAAATTGCAAAAATCTAAAATAACAAAAATATATAAAAACAGTGTATCCTGTAATGTTCTGTATATTAAACTATGACCTGAACCATGAGTTACACTTTAGATTTCATGCAAAGCATGTATTTCTAAGCGTGGACTTCACCAGCTGAAATAAAAATAAAAATATCTCAATAAAAATGAATATTTATTTTATAATATACAGTATTGTTGTTACAAAGAAATTATATACAATGAACCCTTGTTAGTTGGACGTTGACAATTGGTATCACCTCTGTGATCAGCTCTCACTGAATTTGGTCAAGAAGCAGGGTTTTGAGTTGCTGCTATTGGTTGAAATGATGAGCTGATTTCAACAAATTTACCATTATTTTCTGACAATTAATGAGATACAAGTTAAGAAACCAACTGCAAACCATTGCTGTCTTTTTTATTGTTTCAACTCCCTTTTAAATTGAATCTTGAGAGCTTTCTATAATGAATATAATAAAACTACTTCTTATTTAACAGAAATGAGAAAAAAATAAAATGCTGAAATGACCAAATCACAATGTGATATGATGGCTTAAATATAAGTTAAATGAAGAAAAATGTAATTTCAAAAGCTTTATTTTTACAATGACTATAATAAAACCATTCATGATGTTAGAAAAACACATAGGTTAAAAAAGGCTTTATAGAAATGGATAAAACCATTTATTTTAGCTATTTAACAGAACTGAGTAAAGGATTTGTGACTTATATATAAACATCTTTCAATGTGACAAACAAGAATCATATAAGGTTTATGGAAGTTAATATTTTTGTAAGTGGTTTGTTTACAATCTTATGCAGCTTTATTTTTCTTGGACACAAAGTTCCTGTGATGCCAGTTAGTGGTCAGCATGAATGATATTTTCCCAATTAAATATTTCAAGTTAATTTTATTTCTTTTATGTAACAAAGGTATTAAGTCTACCTGCAGAGTTTTTACTAGACTATTCAGTCCTATATTTACTGTACTGTAGGCTATACACAAGTATCTTACTCAGTTTTAAAACAACAGGTCAGATTGAAAATGTTGTTTTTATGAATACTCATATGTAAAAAAATTGTAACTTTCTGTTCTCTTTCTAGTAGTGAAGAAGAATTCTCTGACACTGTAAGGCCTGTTGTGAGAAGAGTTGAACCAAATATTGTCACGGTTCATGAAGGTAGGGGTCAAAAAGTTGCAGAAATAACTCAAGTTATGGAGCAGATGATTTCAAATCGTTCAATAAAACCTCCTAGTGGTGCTGTAGATGTGCTAAAACCAAAAACACAGCATAAGAATCCAAGTATTGTTATGCAAGTAAGAATTATTTCTAGCATTTTTTGTGGTGTTCTCTCCATTTAGAGTAATCTGGTTTATATACATTTGCCACTGTGTTGATTAGGATTTTTCAAGAAGAAAAATAATTTATAATAGTATTTCAACACAGTGTTTTAGCTATATTCACTGTCAGTAACTCATTTTGCTCAATACAGAGCTCATCAGGCTGGGTGAGATGCAACATAGTAGTGTTTAAAAATATTATTGGCCTTGTACTAATGTCTTATGACAAGAATAATTAATTATGATTATGTTTTCCCACTTACAAAAAGATGTTAATGACATAACAATTGTTGTTGTAACAAATGTCTTATAGTGTTCCAAATACTACTGTGTTTTTTGGATATAGTATGGTTGAAGTATTGTAATACAATCTTTTTCTTGAAAAACCCTGAAGGACTGAATAAAGAATGTAGTGTTAAAACATTTAATAGACCAAGTATAGTTAATTTTGTGTAGTTTTCATTAAATAATATAGGTAATTATATTATAGGGTTATTCTGTCTTATGTTACAGTTTAGAGAACTTCTGTAAAAAAGATACATCTTAATGAAATATATTTCTGTTGTATTATACAGTAGTGTTGCTAAAAAGAATCTTCTACAGTGAACCCTTGTAAGACCAGACATTGACAGTCTAGATTATTTTTTCATATAGACAGGTCTTCACAATAGGAAATTTAATCTATAATTCACATATTCAAATTGCAAATCCAAAAATAACATACATGCATTTCCTATGGACACATAATTCAATAATCTATACATGACTTCATGATAGTCAAATAGGGGTCTATCGGAGCAAGAAACGAGGTGATAGTTGTTTACCACAAAACAACTGCATTATCTGATGTGTACTGGTTTACAACAGTTTTTCTAAGAATGACTTTCATAGTAGGGATATACACCTCAAATATATCCGGTATCGAGAGGTCATAAGAGTGATTTATACTACATTCATGTCAAGTCACAATGATCCAAAATAAAGATGCAAAGAAGTGTCAGCATCATTAAAATGTGATGTTTGTTTATACAAGAAAGCAAGTCCAAGTGCAAGCCTTAATGGCATCATTAGGCATTTTAGTGTAGAAAGAAATGTTCTTGTGGGAAAGGCAACCATATTTAATTAAACCTAAGTTTAAAAAATGGTTTCTAAAAGCCATTTTTTTAAAGAAATAGTTCCAAAAATTTATATTTAAAGAGAAATTGCTTCCTAAATTTCCTTTTTTCTTTAATATAAATATTGGTGTCTCCAGAAAATTAGTCATTGATTTAAGTATTTAATATATATAAATAATATTCCATCATGTGCTTATAGTCTACCTGGTTAATGTTGTAATAAATAAACAAATTCTTCAGCTCTGGCTTTTCACAGCATTTGGGTAGGGTTAGAAAAAAATAATAATAGAGATGTTATTTTAAAGATTTTTAAACAGTCCTTTTGGCCCTCACAAATTTACCAATTTTGTCCATAATTCTGGAGTTATGGTTCCTAAACTTCCTAACTTTACACCCTTTATTGCTATGAGTAAAAATTTAAAACAGTTGCAAAATATAATTTGTGGTGATCCAAGAAATAGAGCTGCAGCCAAAAGAATATGCCCATTGAAAAGAAAATGGCACAGTTGTGTTGGTAATAATTTGTATTACTTTTGTGAAGAGAGATATTCTATAAAATTTATCAACTTCACTTGCTGTATGTAAGCATCAGAAAGACCATCAGTTATTAGATTGATAATATCATATTTTCACTGCATTTACCTTTAAAGCAATATACATTATTGGCATAAATAAATGAAGCATGTAAATATGGTCTAGAGAACCATCAATGATCACAATGAGTAATTGTGTTCATAAAAACATTGAAAACAAATTAAACGATATTTTTATCATCCTTTGATTGATCTTGTTTTTTTCACATATCCAGAGAAACCAAACAAGTGATCATGATGATCTGTCTGATTCATCAGATGAAAGTGTTCAAACAAACAGAAAAAAACAGTAAGTTAAAAAAAATTGTGTATAAACTAAAGTATTTATTTACTACAATTTTTACATAACTCTTGAAGATAAGTTCTACATTAAGACATTTGTAAGTCAAGGTAACAAAAATCATATCGAAAAATGTGTTGATCCACATAATTTATTTGTTTTATTCTTTCATTTAATAATTTCTTCCAACACGTTTTGTTCCCCACTCAGTTGGATGAACTATGTATCTTTTTCTTTTTTTTAAGTATTTTCTTGCAAGAATTGAATTCCACAAATAGTGTTAAAAATATTAAAGAAAAAGTTTCAGTTACGCCATTTAACTCAAGTGCTTTATTTAGGGCTGATAAATACATCATTAGTTTTAGGTACACCATTAATCTGAACTTAACAGTGCATATCATACATGATTATGTTAGTTATAAAAAAAAACTTCCTTTATATACACACACTTAGTTCTAGGCATTGAATTAGTTTTCTCCATTATTAGATTTCCAGCTAAATTCACATGCAGAGGTTGTTTAACATATACATGTGTGTACATAACTTGAAGCTAACATTTTTTTAAATAATTTCAAATAGATATAATATTTATGCCCACTCCTGCCTTCCTTCCTACTTTAGTAGTTTTAGAAAGATGAACTAGGAAAGAGGAGGTAGGCTAGTGGAAACTTTAAGTAAGATAATTATTCAACGTTTAGTCAAGAAAACGTGTTTAAAACTGTAGTTTTGAAGTATTGGATTATCTTTCTAGTATTCTGACATATTTTACCTATTATACAATCTTTACATATGGTATACTGAGATTACAAATTATTCTTATTTTGCATCTTCATTTGAGATATTTACGATTTTGACCACTTGTGGTCAGCTATTTCTGGTGTAAGAGTAACCAACTGCTAGATGGCTGTTAAACTTTTGCACTACTATCCTCCTTTACACCCTTTTATTACCATCATTATATAAATATTTACACTGCTACCTCTTTTACAGTACCATGCTTATCTCTTACACAATTGTCCACTCTGCCCTTGTTCTACCTTTTTTTTTAAGATTAATTTAAAAGTTCATTGACATGCAATTAATTTAGAAATGGGAAGTTTTAGGAAAAACGTTTTAGCTGTATGGAATTAGGTGCTGTAGGTTTACCCCTTTTACTATGTCATTCAAGAACATGTCCTTCAGAAATTTCATTAAAATACATAAACATCCAAAATTTCAAGGGAAAAGGTGTAGACATTAACAAATGTTACCAAACTCGCTCCTCAATAACAACACTTATGGACAATAATTCACACTTGACATGCATATGGAGTTGTGCCACAGAAGATTGTAATCTGACTACAGCAAAGGTTGTTACACAAATCCAGTTTTGTATTGTAAGGTTAGAATTTTGCATAAACAGGTTATTGGACCATTGAACTCTCCAAGAGTTTAAAAAGTATTAAAACAAAAGTCCTTTACATTTGTAGCACACAAACATTTTTCTGCAGCTGATTCCAAATCATCCAAACAATGGCACAGTACTAAGTTGATTGAAAGTTTAACATGCCAAATGGTTTCTAGAGGACATTTATCCTTCACATCAGAGGATGGAAATGTGTGTCAGTGGCTGCATACTACTGACTCACTTACGCATAGTTGTCATGTATTCAGACCAAGAACAGTAGCAACTAGTGACAGTGAAACCAAAATGTTTGATGTATTTGGACAAGACTTTGAACACAGCTATTGATTGTTTACCACCATTTCATAATACTCTTTACGATGTTTACCTCATTTGCATTTATGTCTCATAACTGCTGTTGTTGTGGAGTGACTTTGCTAATTTTTGGTTTGAAGTGTTGCATTTGTTATTATCTACTAACCTTTGCAGTTAACAATTTTGGTGTCTGATGCATATTAATAAAAGTTTAGAAGTATATGATGTTAAAGTTGACCTTTAGTGACTTCAATTATATTGTCAGAGAGTAGGCCATGTCCTGTACACATTATTCTGCTGTTATCATCTGCACATTGTTTTTGTTCTGGTATGTTTAAAATTTTCTAGTTTATCTTATTCTTCACATTGATTTTTACTCCACAAGTAATTTTAAACTATAGGATTTTTCTTTATTATTGATTTTATTTGTATTATTTGTGGTTTACCTGTAGAATGTCAATTCCTGTTATCTGTTCACATTTCCCATAATAAAGTGTGGTTGAGATTGGTAACACCAACTTTCAGCTCTAGTATTTTCAGTGGATGATTATTATTGTACTCGCATCTCCTCCCTGACAATCTCCATATAAAAAAATCTGTACATAACTGTTTAGATAAATATTTTAAGCTGAGAGTTTAATGTGTAAAAATTAAATTAAAAAGACATTTTATGGCTTTCATATTGTCGTGATAACAAGTACAAGTATTTTACTATAAAGTATCCACATTCTGACAAAGCTAGTATAGTATATATATAGTATCTATATATAGTATATATATATAGTATATATATAGTATCTAGGAAAGAAAATTTGTTTCTTAAATTTGTCATAGAAAATTAAATTTTATGGGATTCAGTTACAGTACATGTTTCAAGCCATTGCCTTATAGGTGCCCCCAGTGGCAGAGCACAGATATTCCATTCTGTAGCTTTGTGCTTAACTACAAGTACAAACAAAACAAGCCTTATAGGCCAACCCTATAGATGGATATAAATATTTTATTCAAATAGATATAACTAACTTATTGCATAATTATAATATTTTAATAGAAGTTTGTAAAAAATTATGGGTGATTGTTACTGTGATTTAATAGTTGCTTCATTTTAAAGCATTGTTTTTAATTTAATGTTTTCCCAGACTTAAAATATGTTAATCATGTCTATTAAACATAGATCATAGCTGTATTAACTGTGTAATTTGTTTGATGACATATTTGTAAATTTGCCATGCATATATATTGTAAGTTACATATCACTTAAATCCATTTTCTTTTTTTACTATGTTAACATTTGTTTTTTTCTATATTGTATGTTAATAGTAGTATAGTTATATGAGCACAAATTATATGATGCTGAGTAGATTATTACCTGTTCTTAGATGTTTCACCTCATTGCTATTTAAATAATAATATATTTCCTGCTTAGGGAAATATGCACATATTTTTGGTGTTATACATGTTGATATGATCAACAAGTGGCTTAACTCTCATTTCTTAATTTTTAGACTTGCCTTAATGTTTATATCTTTCCATTGCTCTAATTAATCAGGGATCCCAATATTGCATTACATTCCTCCCTCAGGTAAACAGTAAAGCAATAGCAAAGATTTGTGGTACACATATCTGTTGTTAAGTGATATATTTTAATTTAATAAGTTTACATGTATGCATTAATTGCAATTATCACAGTAAAAAACATAAACCTAAAGATTGTTCTTTAAATTTACATAAACATTTTGCAATTTATATGTTGTTTCAACTGCTTTATAAATATTAATGAAAAATAATTTTAATTATATTTAATTTTCTTTATTTAGCAACACATCCTGTGATGACTCATTGTTATGCTTGATGGCTTATAATTCTAGAATTAGGGACTTGTTAGGCCATTGTGTAGCTAAATTATTTAACATATGTTTTTTTTATACAAACAGGAGTAAAGCACTAGCTAGTAAGGAAATGGGAAGTCTGAATAACACAGGTAGCAGTAGTTGCTGGGACTCAAGCTCATCAAAGAAAGGTGAGAAATTTCAAACATATTAATATTTTTAATATGGTATCTATTACTTTAAATTGAACCCTAATGCATATAGCAGTAATAGCAAAATGTACAAGCACTGTGAAAAGTGTAGCTTTTTAGTTTCTTATTTTTGAGTAAAAGGTAATATATTTATACCACCATGAATTCCCTTGATGATATTTTGAATATAGTTATTAACTATCTGAAGTAACCATCCCCTGAAAGGTTATCTTAGAACATGAAAAGTTGCTTCCCTTATATGTAATTGTAAAAAATGCCCATAAAAACCACAAATTGCAAAAGTGAAAAATTATATGTATCTCCCAATGGACCCAACAAACCTTCATGTCAAATTTGGTGAAGATCCATCAACAGGGAGCGAAGTAGTGGTAAAAAATACAAAAACTCTCATAAAAACTGCAAAACTGAAAACCTGCATGGACCTAATGAACCTCCGTACCAGTTTTGGTGAAGATCCATCCACACCCTGCAAAGTAGTTACGTGGACATACAACAGACAGTACTATTATATTTATATAGATACACTGAGAGTTGTAATTAGAGTTAATTAACCTGATGTCACAGAAAGCAAAGTACTAAATAACAGATGGATAGATGGTTCCCCACAATTTATAAAGTGATTTTTAGAAAGGAAGAAAAAATTGATTGAGCTTTCAAAGTCTTGATGAGTATGTGTTGTGATGATTCTCATCAGTAGGGTAAACACTGAACTTGTGACATGAAAACTGTAGAAGGAAAATATTTAATAAAAGTGCAGAAATTACTCCAACTATGAGCTATTAAAATCAAATTACCATTCAGGTTAATACATTGATTCATTTCTAATTCTGTATTATAACATGAGTGCAGTGCCAGAAATGAAGCTTTGAAACAAAATTAATTAATTAACCTAATGCTCCCAACTGTAAAAAGTAAACTACACAGTTTTCCCTTTTAATATATATATATATATATGATACTGTGAGATCAGTTATCTTGAATGTAACTAAGCTTAGTAATTCTACAAGCTAAACTGTTCTTAAGTTCTTTGTATCACAAGTAGTATTTAGGGCACTGTTATGTGTCATTTTCAATATATTTATTCTCACTGGATAAATTACTTACATCTAAAAGTATTCAAAGCAACTGTTCTTCTAAAAATTTCCATCTATTTCCCGAATCATAATTTTGGATATATCCACATGTCCTGGCCTCAAGTAGTTTTGTAGCTGGAGCACTTCTAGAGCTGAGTCTGTTGTATTGGTAATGTATTGTGTTCAAGCATACTCACTACTTGGTTGTGGGCACTGATCAAATCAACTGCCATCATGAACTCTCCTGAGTGTTTTCTGTTGATTATAACACACTACAGGAGTTTAAAGGGTTAGTGAAGCTATTGTTTATGCTATAAATATTGTTTGCAGTAGAAATTGCACATGATTGGTCTTATGTCACACATAAGGCAGCACTGTTTAAATAATAATCAGGAACTTGCCAAGATTTAGAAAAGTTACAGTGATATCTTTTGTTATCCCATAACGATAAATTAAATACTAATACAAAAATTATTTTCTTGCTTCTGTTAATTAGTTTCTTCAACAGTTTATAATTGCAACAAATATACACATTTTCTCTAGTTATCATTGGTCAATATGAATTGTGATTAGAAGAGTTCATTCAGTGGCACATATTCAGAGGTTTTTGCCATGTGGGCTGTTTGGTGGTAGTTTTTTTTGAGTCATAAAAATTCTGGGTGACAAAAAATTGTGAATGGGCTGACAAGTTTGTTTTATAATAAGATTCAAAAGGCATTACAAATTTAATGGTATCAGGTAGGCAGTAGCCCTGCCTATTTCGGGATGGCTGGGATTGTTCATCAAAGTGATATGTTAAATATCTCCTCAATAGGTCATCAGAACATTACAGCACTATACAGTGTTTCCTTTTACAACAATATCTGTGTAATGACTGAGTTACAAGTTCTGTAAATATCATAGCATAAAGTTTGAATTTCTTGTTCTTCTTTCTTCTGTTGTTTTTTTCTTACATGATAACTCCAAAATCAAACAAATGATGTTACCCAAATTCACTGAGGTGGTGTAGTTTCAAACGGGATATCCACTTTTATAGGTATTATTAATAACTAGTAGTAATTTTAAAAAATCATTATTCTAGTGCAAACATTGTTATCATTACCCCTTGAAGTTAGCTTTCTTACAGAAATTTGATGCTCCCTTAAAAAGCTTAAGTACAGGTTGAAACAGGAATTACCAGCCAGTAATAGATAAACAATAAATATTTCAGTTGTACTTTATTGTATTTAGAACTTTATTATAAATACAACCTTCTTATATATATTGAAACACTGTAGGGTTGACTAATATCAATCCTTCAAAAGCAATGCCAACAAGATAGTAGGGATGGAAGGTGCATTATCATCCCTACATGATAGCAAAAGCAAGAATTAACATATAGCAATATGCACAACTGAGTTTAATTTACCCTATTTTTGTCAGTGAACATTCTACTACACTGTCTGCCTGTGCTATTATATAGGGATGATGTAAATGTCATCTCTACTATCTTGTTTGCATTGTTTTTGAAGGATTGACATTAGCCATCCCTACATTTACTTCCTTTTTTTAATAGTTTTTTCTTTACTTCTGTACTTAAGAATTTGACATGCTTAGATAATATTCTATTTACTGAATGTAGCCTGAAAAAGACGAGTAGGCAGAGTTGGCGAGATACTTTTGTACATGGAAATTTGATTATAAAGCTAACTGAAAACTGTTCAAAAATAGATGAAAATGAGAAATTGGTCAAATTCTTTAGCTTATTGGTTATCTCAAAAAAATGGCAAAGAACTTTTTCTAATACTATTTATATATTGAAAGGATGAGAAAGAAAATAAACTCTATTTTTGCCTGTTGTTGTTTTTGTCGTCTTCTCACTTGTCCTAATTTTGTGCCATCCCACTTAAATCATTCCATAAAATACACTTTTAACACTTATAACCATCAGACATTATATCCACAAACTGTCACTAATGGAAAATGTGATGCATATGGGAACTAAATAATTTTATAATCACATTTGCATTTGGTGTAGTTGAAAAGATAAAAGTATACAATTAATATTCATAAATTCAGTATCTCTTTCCAGAAAGAAATCTGAGTGTGTGATTATTCTGGTAATGATAATGCAGTATATGTGGCAAAACATTTGTTTTTAACTTATGTTATTTAGCCATTTTAATAATTTTTAAACATTGCTTGTGATACTTTTGAATTATGAAAACCTAAGATAATAATAATAAACAATTATAATACATGCAAATTTTAAAACAAAATTGTATTGCATTCGATCGAAAGGGGTTGTTTCAGTAATTTCTTTTAAATATCAAGGTATCATTACCACATAAAAGAATAAGTTAATTAGAAGAATTTTAAGAAAAATTTATAATCTTAGAAGTTAAGCATAAAGGTATTATGTGTTTTTTTTTCCAGATTTTTGTTTCATACTTTTATGTGTTATTACATTTGGTAGATTGTGGCACTGATTATATGATATACAATCTAAATATTTTTTACAGTATTTTTGCTGGTAAAATGGTAATTATTTCAAATGATTTTTATATCATTTAATTTGGTGTATTAGAAACTAGCTTAAAGAAGTTCAACTTGAGTCAACTTTTTTCACATCAGTCAACTTGGTTGGAAAGAAATACACATATATCAAAATGTAGGATAGTTCTCCAAAAAAGATGTCTTTTCAACCAAATAGACTAAAAAAATGTTTTTAAATGATCTAATTGACAAAAATAATAGAAGAGATGGATGAAATTCACTTAATAATAAATTAATTTTCACAATGTTTTGGAATTAGTTCTTTCATCAGGTAGTGTCTTATAGTGTTTAATCATTCAAACCTTACCTGATGAAAGGCCTATACCTGAAACATTGTTATTATCCAGTACTTTACACTAGGAAAATATTTTTACCCAATTCAAATAGCTAAGCCTAGTATTGCATCTCTCTGAGACTTTATATCTCATTACACATTCTTTCTGCAGATTTGTTACCTGGAAAGAAAGAACAGAACCCAGGGACAAGTTCTTCCACAGGGAAAGGTTCCCTTGTTACTGTGACTTCATGGGGAAGTGATGATGATCTATCAGTAGAAGAGATTGAATAAGTTAATAAGAACTGTGATATACTTTTGTGTCTTTTTTTACATGTTTTTAATATTAAGAACTATGTAAACGTTATATACATTTATATGTGCTTTATAAGTTTCATCATTTATCAAACTATTTGTGATGACTTTCAAGGATGAAACTTAGAATTAATCTTCATCTATGTTCAAACATTTGTATTTAAATAAGATGCATTAAATATTTTGCATACATTTTACCCCTACATTTGTACAAACATTTACAGTAATCATTTTAATTTTTATTCTTTAGGTAAAATCAGATGCAAAAGTCGTTAGATCTTGCAGCTAAGTAAAGAATATTTAATATAAATGCAGCTGTATTCACTAAAATGTTTTCAATTGTAAATAAATTTAGATATTCTAAAATTGTCAAATTTATAAGAACAAACTAATTGTAAAAAATTGTTTCATTGGGAACCACTTGCCAAAATCTTTATGAAGTATTGAAAATAACAGGTACTTTGCTTTAAGTTTTATCTTCAAATTTATTGTTATGAATAATAAACAGTTTTTAAACTAACATAGCAAAAGACAGCACGAATGAAATTTTAACTACAAAATATGCTTTGAAAAAACAATAAATCTAAGTAGATTTAAACATATGTACTATTTTTGTTTTTTTATACATTACTAATTGTCAAATTTTGTTTCAAAATATATTAGGTATCAGTATATAAGCTTGTACCTGTGAACAAATGTCATAAATGTAAATGGCTCAACTTTTCTGCTATTATCACTGTAATTGTTCTTATCTATTGTAGATAGGATCTCTTTTGTAAATAAAATTAAAAGTTTGTACAAAATTTAATTCATGTATAAGTTTCATAGGTTTTACACAGTAAAATGTACAAGTAACAAAATAATAAACTAGCATATATTTTTAAACCAAACTGTCATACTTGTTTCTTCTATCAGAAATGTAATGTATTATTTGTAAAAGAATAAATTATGCATGCTTACAAATGCAATTGACACTTAACTACTTAATATGCTCTTAACTGATATTTCTTGAAGTTAGTAACATATAGTGAATTATTGAATTGATTTATATCCTATCTATTTGTCTCTGCTGTGTGTGTGTTTCCAGTTGATATGTTTGTATTGCATGAATCTTTGATGGTAAATACCTATGAAATAAGGATATGACACAACTAAAGAAGCACAGAGAAACACATGGGTATCTGTTACCAACTAGCATAGCATTATATTGTTTAGAAATGCTTGTGTGAATTTGAACTTCTTTGTAAAATGTTATTCAGTTGAACCTATCCTTTTCCTCCTTTTTTAATCTAATTTACGTTGTAACAGAAACAGTCCATAGTTTGTTATGTACATTTACTTTTACAGATGTGGGTACCTCTTATTTTGTGTATCATATCTAATTTCACCAAAAGAGGGTTTTCACAAAATTTACTTTCACTCAAAAAAGTGTAATGATCTTTGGACATCACCCACAAAAACCTAACTGTTTGTTAGAGAATAGTTAGAAAACTAATTTTTGTCATTATCTATAATATTAATATCAATGGAGAGTATAGAAATGATGTGCAGTTATTTGGTAGTGTATGAATATACATATATATATATGTGTATACTTGCATTCACCAGACTATAATTGAATAAGCTCTTAATGGATGACCTTTTAATTATTTCAAAAATCTATCCTACTTGGTCAACAATTTTTGCATTTTTCATTGACATACAGATGTTGTCTTTTAGCACAAACATGTATTGATGGAAAAAAAATCTTTTATCAAATATATTTTGATAGTTACTTAATATTATTATGATTTAAATTTTAAATGATTGCTTTCCTAGTGTCATTTTTGTTACCTTAAGTTTACCTACAATAATAAATTCCATCCGATATTTTTGTGACTATTTTTTCTAGAAACACTTATGATACAAGTTAACCTCATCAACACAGTAATTAGAAAGGAATTATCAACATGTTGTCATTTTTGGGTTGGGCCTTGTCAAATCAAACTTGTTCAATTTGCTAAGAAGTTGGCCTTTTTTTTTCTTTTTTTTCTTAACCAAATGTAACAAAGATTGTGAGTTACTTTAAATAGACGTTTTAAAACTGGTCAAGTTGGCAAACTGCTTAAATTAACCTCATGCTTAGGTGTTTGCTGAGCTGGGCAAGTATAGAAACTGTAAAACCTCACCCCTGACATAAGTACATCAGTGAAGTTTTGAATTACATCATTTTAATGCCAGGAATTTTCATTTTGCGTTTTATCTCTGTACAAATACCTTTACTTGTTTTGAACATTAATACATTATGGTATATACACATATTATTTTCTTCCCTTTTGTAATAACATAGGAATATTTCAAAATTTATTTGTGCAGGTATATTTACTTTCCTCTAACACCTTATTCAAGAAAGTCTTTGATGTTCCTTTTTCTCTAGCTACATATTGTTCTGTGTCATTCACCTAAAGTAGTACCTTTTATCTTCTCATGGGAAAGATAACTTGCAAGGTCACTTGTAGTATGTTGAGCTAGATATTTATTTTTTCTACTGGCAATCGGGTTACTTCTTGAGGTAATGACCTCTTTTATGTTTCAATGGAAATGACCAGCCATGTTTGTAGTGCTAGTCTCACTGTGTAAGTATAATGTTAAGTTAGTAACACAATATCCATTCATTCTAGAATGTGATTTTAGTCAATAAAATATGGAACAGGAGATCAACCAAGTTAGTCTTCAAACCTAACTGTCCATTGTGGCAAGTAAAGTCCATATTTGCACTGTATTTGTTTTAAATGAAGATTGTACATTTGTATTCAGTCTCTCATTATTTCTTGCAAACTCAGTTACTAAAAGAAGACAGAATTATTTTCCAGTAGATATTTTGACAGATCTCCTGTACTTCAGTGGACCTATTTTCTCATTCTTAAAAGAAACCAGTGCTACTTGAAAATACCACAAAGTAGTAGGTAGGTAGGAGAAAATTTTGTTGACATGACCAGGATATCTTGTTGTGGAGTTTTCTGTATTTTGTCTTTACTCAAGTTCTTTTGTAATTAAGTTTAAAAAGGCTTCATTTTGAGAAAATAGCATTTTTCACAGTTCAGAAGATTTATGAACAGGAAGAACAATTGATCCCTGATGAGAAATATTTGTATAGGTCCAAGCCACAACATAATAATAAACTGGAGATGTCTGCCAACAGGAGGTATGTTACTGGAAGCTGAGATGGAAAGCATGTAGTGAAGATTGTGATTTATGGGGTAGAATAGAAAACCTCTCTGAGGCAGGAGGTAACCTGCCATGGTGCTATGGATCATTGAATAAAATACCAGGATACTCACCATTCTACCATCCTAAACCAGGGACCAAACTCTTGTCGAAGATTAGAGAACCCTGAAGTGTCCTGTTACAATGTCAATGACATTTGAACTTGGTGTTGGCCTAGATTTCACTCAGGAGAGGCTTTGGTCACAACCACAGCTTTCATGATTGGAGCAAAGCAAATTATGCTCCCACAATTTTCAAAGGTACAGTAAAGCAAGTCCTGGATCATTTCCTGAAGAATTTTGGCAGGTAGTTGCCTGGAATGGCTGGCTTCATAAAAGGCCACACAATGCCACATTTTAAATTTGAATGGTCCAGTCTTTGTCAATTTACTTGATTGAAGCAAATCTTTAAGACTGCAAGACAGTCCTTGCCAGGTTGTGTGGATGATTCGATCCGATGGAAAATTAAGTAAGCCATCAAACTGAGTTCAAGGCTTGGAAGAAGTGCACCATTAAAAGCCTGCTGCTTGTGCAAATGACCTGTGCTGTCTGCACAGGAAGGCATACGTGACAATGGCCTCTGCCTACTGAGAAAACATTTTAGTGGATAAATTCATTAAGGAACTTCCTGGATATAAGAAATATTATCCTAACAGAGTCAGTTTCTGTCAGTACAAAGTAGTAACTTCAAACCTATCGGAGGAGAGGAAGAAGCCTATAGCAGAAACTGCTATACTGGACCTCAGACAGACTGGCCTATCCTGGTACCTCCATCATATAAAGCACAAGCCATACCAAGGTTTTACCAACCAACTACACATCCTGACATTGCAGCACAATCACACTGGTTTACAGTGAATAGGCAGGGCTATCCCAGTCCTCCCATGGGTGATATGCCACAACTGATGATATCTCTCCCTAGATGTAGTTCTGGAAGAAAGGAGTAAAGTGTCTGTTTTGCAGGTGGAATGTTGGGTTACTATAAAGTGAACTGCATGTACTTTGTGAATCAACAAAATAGCCAAGATTATCTGTTTCAAGTAATATCTTGGCAAGTCCAGGAGAGTTAACAGCAAGCATTAAATGCTGCTGCTACAGATCTGGAAAAAATAACAGAATGAACTTGGGTTTGGCCACCAATTTGAGTAAGTATAGCAGTCAGCTTGCATTGGAAGGTTTGGTGGTCAACCCAACTCTCTTAGGGCTTGGGGGAGCTTTGTACACATTTATAAAGATTCAGGGCTGAGAGATCAAGTTTCTGATAGACACAAAAATAGCCAGAATGGTAAGCTTGTAATATGTCAAGCCCTCCAAGTAAAACTACTACTATGGCCAGTGGACAATGACTGTGTTGTAGTAACTAGCAATGAACTAGAAGTGAATGGAGAAGTAAATTTCTGACCATGTCTAGGTAGTATAACTCATACAATGAAGATAGTTATTGCAGAATTCAGTTCTGGCATTAGCATCCCTGAGATGGGGGTCTGGCATGGTCAGGTGATTAGAGCACTCAACTCGCAATCTGTCTGCAGGTCGTGGGTTCGAATTGCACTCAACATTTTCGGCCGTGAGGCGTTAAAATGTGATGGTCACTCCCATTATTCACTGCCTTTTCTCTAGTCTTTCACTGCTAAATGAGAAATAGCTAGTGCAGATAACCCCCATGTAGCTTTGCACAAAAATTAAACCAAACCTTAGGATGGACATACTACAGAACCTATGCAACCAATTAATTGATGGCA